GGGGAAAGTGTGGGAAGGAGGAGGAGGAGGAGAGGGGGAAGAAATAAGAGGGGTGGAGAGCAGTGGAATAGGGGGAAGGAATTGGGAGGATGGAGCGTGGAGGAGAAGGAAAGAGGGTGGAAGGAGGAGAAAGCAGGGAGGGAGGAAGAGACAGACATTCCCATGTGTGTGTGTTCGAGGGAGATAAGGTGTGTGAAGACTGCAGGAGGGGGGGGGGGGTAAGATGAGGTGGTTGTTTGTAGAGGAGGTGATGAGGAAGGCGTGTGTTGGTGTGTTGCAGGAGGTAGTGAGGGTTTGTTCCGGGTGTGATGGAGAGGGTGTGAGACCAGGGGAAGGGGTGTATGGAAGAGACCTGGCCACAGGAGCAACTTGGACAACACTGGGTACCCCACCTAGTGTCCATAAGAGGGAATGTCTGTCTGTTGTGTGAGGTTATAATGGTTAACATAATACAATTATTCAAGATAGCCTCATTAACGTTTGTTTAAAGTTGTTGCTCAGTATCTAGTTTAGTGGCACTTGAGAGTTGTCACTCGAGACGGTCCCTTAATCGACTGAGCTACGACATGGTAAAAGAATTGCAACCGGGAAATCATCCTGATTTACCGACGGATCCTGCAGTCTCTCAGAGACACAAACCAGGGTTTTACCATGTTTTACCATTCTTTTTACCATGTCGTAGCTCAGTCGATTAAGGTAGCGTCTGGGATTCTCTCTGACTTAGGTTCGAACCCTCGCGTTACGGCCCTTGTGGATTTGTTCATATGATTACACTGTTTGTAAGTTGGAATATTACAGGTATTTTTTGTTTATTTGTACATTTAGGTACATCTGAATTTATGCAGCTACCCTGGACAATATGAAAAGAAGCACAAAGTGTGTCAAGAATTAGCCATATGATACAAAAAGGTCCCCCATCTCACACGATGGTTAGTCATACTGGACCATGTGATCAAGTAGCCTGCACTACCAAATTGTGAGTGCATTATAAGTATATTCTCAAGAACACGAGAGTTAATAAAGTGATTGCAAAGCTCCAGGTACCGAATGTCAAGGGGTCTTAAGAGTCTAATAACTGGGCATTCAGTGATGTAGAATATGAGATCATGACCCAGTTCCTGCTCACAGAGTTTGCATCTGGAGTGCTCAGGATTGGGAGATCCGTCACCTGTAGCCAGCTTTCCACATCTCCATTATCTCTCTATCAACACTGCCATCTCCCTCTCTACCCACACACCTGATTTTCCTTTCCACCTCCTTCTCCACACTTACCCCGGCCACTCACGTTGTACATCCCCTTCTCGCTATTTACATCCCCCTAACCCTCTCTACATCTTGAGGTTATCTTGAGATGATTTCGGGGCTTTAGTGTCCCCGCGGCCCGGTCCTCGACCAGGCCTCCACCCCCAGGAAGCAGCCCGTGACAGCTGACTAACACCCAGGTACCTATTTTACTGCTAGGCAACAGGGGCATAGGGTGAAAGAAACTCTGCCCAATGTTTCTCGCCGGCGCCTGGGATCGAACCCAGGACCACAGGATCACAAGTCCAGCGTGCTGTCCGCTCGGCCAACCGGTTCCCTCGCTCGGCCGACCGGTTCCCTTGGTGTGAACCGGTCGGTTCTTGGTGTCCCTTCCGACATCCCTTCTCTCTCTCTACTCACCCATCTCTTCTTTTCTACAACTCCACCCTACTGTCCCTCTCCACTCACTCTTCCCTTCTGTCTCTTCACATACCCTCCTATATCCTTCCCACACACACTTTCCCTCTCTCCCCACATCATTGTAACCGTTTTTTAACATATTATCCCTATCATTATGCCCAGAAGGTCGTGGCCAGAATGCGAATCTGTCTTTTAAACATACGTTTCAAAAGCACTGGACCGACCAAGATGCCTCTTGTGACACTACTCATATCAACCGCATTAATCCTGCAACGTTTCATAGGCTAGCCCAGGCATCCAGCCTCAGGCAGGTAGATAGACAGACTGACAGACATCCTATTTTATAGATATAGATGGAGTACCCAGCGCTGCATGGGGGGGTCTCAGTCTTTCTATTTGGCTCTGTCTCTCTCTCTCTCCCATTCTCCCTTTTACCCCATCCCTCCCATTCTACTTCGTTCCCCCTCCCACCCAATCTCTCTTCCTACCTACTGTTCTCTCTCTCCCTCCCATTCTCTTTCAGAACATTCAATATATGCACCCAGCAAACATAAAACATAAACTCAGTTATTTTTATTATTAATTTTATGCAAACTTTTAAGAATGTTGTGATTATGTTGTGATGTGTGACTGTTTTAACCCAACATACCAGTTCAGACTGGATACGATGAGGTCATATATACCTATTAAGTGTCAAGGTACCTCTATTCCAATGTAATTCATTCTGCAGTATGTGAAATGGGATTATATACACGTGTATTCTACAGTATTCTACTATATTCTATGGTATTTTTATTATTATGTAATATTAATGATGTTGTTCGTGTGTGTGAGAACTGCTAGTTTTTTCGGTCGGGCACGGCTGCTGTCATAACCCCCCCCCCCCCCCGCCCTCCCCTTGCCTGAGTGACTGGTGTGTCTGGGTGTACGGGGTCACACGTTATGTGTTTACTCTCTGGATATTTGTATATATAGATCTATTGCCTTCTTACCAGTATGTAAGAAGGAGAATTATTTGTGTGGGTCTGCGTATCAAAGTGTTTTCACAGATTCTACAGTATTCGAGCCGTTTGGGGACATTGTCATATTCTGGTGCCTGTGTGGACTTTACCTCTTGTGAGAAGGTTCAGTACTTAGATAAATTTCATACTTGTGGACAGACTGAGAGCCCTTCTGCAACACTTCGACTCTGGGCACACGTCGTCTGAACTGTCGACCTCTCTCAGAGGAGCTGCAGCAGAATCACCAAGACGCCGTACATGATCCCTCATCGCCCGATCACGCAACACCGCAGCTGCCTCCACCACCGGAGGCACCAGACCACCCAACTACACGGACGGTAACGCATGAATATCCACAGAGACACTCATCTCACACAACCCCCCCATCACGTGGCAACGCACCACCAGAGACCTCTGCAGAAGACACAGCACCTGGAGATGCACCCCCACAGTCCACCAGGGAAGCAGCAGGCGCCAACCCAACTCCCAACGTACGTTTCACAACCCCCAATGACGCAGGCACAACAACCTCCTCAGCACAACCTCCTCTGGAGGTCCTCCTGGGCCTCCAGAGGAAGAAAGGCCTCCTCCCGGAATACGTTGATATGCTCCGCGGCGCCCGCTTGGCATCCAGCAGCCTGATGGCCCAACAAGCCACACCAGAAACAGGTCTTCTGCTGACCTGCATAAAAACTCCAAATATAATATCCCATCAGGAGCACAAGAGACGGGACTGCTGACGCAAGCCACATCACGAGGGTCCGGATCCCATTGGGCACACCCTTCAGTGGGCCAGATGAAATGACATTCATCCGAATGTTTAACACCCGGCCAAACTCTCCAAAATATCGGTGCAGCAAATCATCAGGGAACTCGTAGAATACACCATGAACACTCACGTAGATCGTAGCACCACTGCGATCTGACACGATCACAGTCCCAGCACCTTCGGGTAACGTAAACGAGCGTCCAGCATAACAGCCCACCAAAGCCGCGAATACATTTGCTGTAGTAACGACCGACCGATAGGAAGAGATTATCTGGACACCCCCGATGAAAGCCACATCAACTCGCAGGAGGTCCGACAAAACCACCTCCACCGTAGAATAAGTCACCGAGTCGGAAAATCCCAACTCAGCCGTCAACAACCGCTTCACAGGAGGCAATGGTGACTCTATCCCATCCGACAACACAGCTGCGACGCACCCGTCACGTCACCAGCAACAGCCAATCACCACACACACCTGGCAGCAACAGCGGAGCTCAGCTGACACGACCTCACCCTAGAGAGGGCGAGCCTGGACTTCTAATTCCAGTCATGGTGGACTCTGATTAATTAGAGAAGCGTTTAGACTTTGCCATTTACCAGTCCAGTTTGAACTTAGTTTCTGAAGGCAAAATTATAGTTTACCGACTTGTGTTATTGATGTTCTTGCTTAGACATTATACCCCAACTCTCGTTATATAACGTCACTACCCACCTTGTTCAAAATCTTTCGCCAGTCTTGAGTGGACAAGTGTACCAATGTTGTTAAGTGATTTTCGGTTAGTTCCATCTAGCCGCAATGATTTGTGTGTTGTGTTAATTTATATCATTGTTATTGGTTGTGAGTATGTATAGAGAGATTTGTGTATATAAGAACCGGTGTCATGAAGATAAGTTCACCCAAATAAACTGTGGATTTTACTTAGACTTTCACTCTACTCTTGACCTATTTCACCTAAACAGTTTGAGGCCAGGTGGCTCATTGATTTATAAGAGAAAGTTCTATGCCACAAGTCTTGCTATGGATCATGACACGACACTGACACACTATGAAAAATCAACGCCACATTTGAGACTTCACAAGAGTCATTGGTTGTTGCAACAGGAGCCAATTCTACTGAAGGAGAGGCATGGGGCCTCTCCTTAAGTAGGAGTGTCATAGTCTCCTATGACACTCCCCATACAGTCACAATTTATCATGGAAAGTTGGGTGAATCTAACTGAAACCAACTGGTATCCAACCTCGGGCAGACAGACATTCTCTCTTACAGGTATAGATAGATAATTCCTCGAGTTTCTGTTTACATGTGTGGAGCCGGGGGGAGGGGACGGGGTGCTTGTGTACATTTGAATATATGTAAAGTCTCTGAACTGCATGGATATAATCTTATCTATAATGAGTATTAATTTGCAAGGCTACCTTTAGGAAAGCAGCCAGAAAGAGTGAAGAGCATAGAATATATTTCTAGTCTCACTGTCTGGCTGAAGCCTTAAAGCCATGATGCAATCCAATTCCAACCTTGTTCATTATTTTCGTGTTTATAAGGAACTACTACTGTGTCACTGTCCAGACAGGCTTTCATGGACGGGCGACTTTACCTGAAGCAGACGATAGCCGACCACTACACGAGGGTGGACGGCAGTACTATACTGTACGTAGGAAGAGAGAGTGCTGTTTCCAGCACGGGAGCGTGGCCCATACCTCACGACGCTCCTTACAAACCTCAGCTGGATAGAATAATGATGTTTATCATCGAGGTGAGATCATCTACAATGTTAACAATTCTTACTGCAGTAAGATTTACATGTAAACAACTTGAACTGACCTTCCGGTGATTTTCTGGTTCGAGTCATTCCATTCCCTCAAAATGATTTCCTCATTGATAGAGCACACCAGTGTGATTTATTGTGATTTGAAAGTAATTGTAATTCATAAGAGTATGAACACCATTACATGGGGGCCAGAGTGTGAGTAGGCCGCCTGTAAATTCGTGGTTGGGCTCTAGTTTGGGGCTTCCAGAACCCTCCGGTGATTTCAGTATAATTCCGGGTTGGTCGTCTTGTGTCCCATCATGGCCGAGTTGGTTAAGGCAGGTGTCTGGGAATCACCTGAATCACTAGGATTTTCTCATTATATATATATATATATATATGTCGTACCTAATAGCCAGAACTCACTTCTCAGCCTACTATGCAAGGCCCGATTTGCCTAATAAGCCAAGTTTTCCTGAATTAATATATTTTCTATAATTTTTTTCTTATGAAATGATAAAGCTGCCCTTTTCACTATGTATAAGGTAAATTTTTTTTATTGGAGTTAAAATTAACGTAGATATATGACCGAACCTAACCAACCCTACCTAACCTAACCTAATCTATCTTTATAGGTAAGGTTAGGAAAGCCAAAAAAAGCTAGGTTAGGTTAGGTTAGGTAGGTTAGGTAGACGAAAAAAACATTAATTCATGAAAACTTGGCTTATTAGGCAAATCGGGCCTTGCATAGTAGGCTGAGAAGTGAGTTCTGGCTACTAGGTACGACATATATATATATATATATATATATATATATATATATATATATATATATATATATATATATATATATAATATATATATATATAATATATATAATATATATAATATATTAGTATATTTGGTAGCAGTCTTTCCTGTAGACATATATTATTAAATATGACCGAAAAAGTAAGATTAATAATTCTAACACGAATTTTCTCAATATTTCTTATGTTTCTTTTCACTATTGATGGTAATTGAAAAATCAATTCTCCAAAATTCATTTTTATTTCTAGTCTGACGCGACACTTGATCGCGTTTCGTAATAACTTATTACATTTTCAAAAACTTTTAGTTTACACACACACAACTATAACCTGCAAACACTACACAGAGTTCTTACTATACTATGATTTAAACAGCTTTCATTTTATTTTATACCTGCAATTTGGGTGAGGTGATATGTTACAACAGTTTTGGATGAGGTGAACAAAACTTTCAACACATGACAGAACACGAAACAATGGGTATTAATTGGGTAAATTGAAGTAACTGCAGAGGGCCTATTGGCCCATATTTCTTGATGCTTCTATATTCTGCTCCAATATAGAAGCATCAAGAAATATGGGCCAATAGGCCCTCTGCAGTTACTTCCATTTACCCAATTAATACCCATTGTTTCGTGTTCTGTCCTGTGTTGAAAGTTTAGTACTCCAAGTACTCCAGTTTAGTACTTTAGTACTCCAAGCTTGTACTAAAGAGGCACCCTTCTTGAACCCGGATGGGCACATGTATAAGCAAGTAGATGGGGTCGTCATGGGTTCTCCCTTAGGTGTCCTGTTTACAAACTTCTATATGGGTACCATCGAGCAAAAAGTCTTAGTCGACATGAACTTGAAACCGGCCATATACTGCAGGTATGTTGACGACATTTTTACACAGGAACCTGATGTCAGACATCTGCAGGAGCTGAAGGAGGCGTTTTAGCAGAGTTCCGTGCTGCGTTTCACTTACGAGATGGAAAAGGATGGGAAGCTGCCCTTTCTAGATGTAACAGTCATGGAAAAGAGCGGAGGTTTCCACACTGCAGTCTACACTAAGGAAACGAACATAGGAATGTGCCTAAATGCCAACAGCGACTGCCCAGACAGGTACAAGAGGAGTGTTGTTAACGCATATGTCGACCGTGCTCTCAGGCACAGCTCAGAATGGAAGCAAGTCGACGAAGAACTCTGTAGGGAAAGGCAGGTCCTAGTCAACAACGGCTTCTCCAATGGTTTCGTCGAAGACATCATAAGAAGGAAAGTGACACGCCATGCAACCTCTGAAGAGACAACTAACACAACACCTATACCCCCTATTAGACTATTTTACAGGAACTTCTTTTCCACAGCTCCTAAAACGGAGGAAAGGGTCCTGAAAGATATTGTTAATAGAAACGTTATCCCTACAGACAAAAATCAGAGGATACAACTGACGATTTACAATAAAACCAGAAAAACGGCCAGCCTACTCATGAGAAACTCTCCAGACACAAAGCAGAACGCTTTAAAAGAGACCAACGTCGTCTATGCCTTCAAATGCCCTCTTGGGGATTGTAAGCTCCAAAAAACCCAGTATATAGGCAAGACAACAACATCTCTTTCTAGGCGTTTAACGATGCATAAGCAACAGGGCTCCATTAAGGAACATATAATCTCTTCCCACAACCAAACCATCGCCAGAGAAATCCTAGTAAACAACACAGAAATCATCGATAGATACAGCGATAGCAGACGGCTTGACGTTTGCGAGGCACGACACATCAAAAAGTCAACACCAGCAATCAACAGCCAATTAATGCACAACTATATTCTACCCACCTCAAGACTCCGCTCCAATATAGAAGCATCAAGAAATATGGACCAATAGGCTTTCTACAATCACTTCTATTCAATACCCATTGTTTCGTGTTCTGGCTTGTGTTGATGAATTTAATACCCTATTAAATACCACCTCACACCATTCACCTCACTCAAATGTAGATATTAACAAATCGGAGATGTATATATATATATATATATATATATATATATATATATATATATATATATATATATATATATATATATATATATATAGTATATTTTGGTAGCAGTCTTTCCTGTAGACATATATTATTAAATATGACCGAAAAAGTAAGATTAATAATTCTAACACGAATTTTCTCAATCTTTCGTACATTTCGCTTCACTGTTGGAGGTAAATCAAAAATCAATTCTCCAAAATTCATTTTTATTTCTAGTCTGACGCGACACGAGCGCGTTTCGTAAAACTTATTACATTTTCAAAGACTTTAGTTCACAATTACACAACTGAATAGAACTTACGCATCTCCGATTTTATATCTACATTTGAGTGAGGTGGAAGGGGTGATGTGGCATTAACACAAGACAGAACAAGATGTGGTATTAATAGGGTATTAATTTCATCAACACAAGACAGAACAAGAGTATTAATAGGGTATTAATTTCATCAACACAAGACAGAACACGAAACAATGGATATTGAATAGAAGTATATAGAAGTATATAGAAGTATATATGTTTGTAGAAAGCCTATTGGTCCATATTTCTTGATGGTTCTATATTGGAGCGGAGTCTTGAGGTGGGTAGAATATAGTTGTGCAATAATTGGCTGTTGATAGCTGGTGTTGACTTCTTGATGTGTTGTGCCTCGCAAACGTCAAGCCGCCTGCTATCGCTGTATCTATCGATGATTTCTGTGTTGTTTACTAGGATTTCTCTGGCGATGGTTTGGTTGTGGGAAGAGATTATATGTTCCTTAATGGAGCCCTGTTGCTTATGCATCGTTAAACGCCTAGAAAGAGATGTTGTTGTCTTGCCTATATACTGGTTTTTTTGGAGCTTACAGTCCCCAAGAGGGCATTTGAAGGCATAGACGACGTTAGTCTCTTTTAAAGCGTTCTGTTTTGTGTCTGGAGAGTTTCTCATGAGTAGGCTGGCCGTTTTTCTGGTTTTATAGTAAATCGTCAGTTGTATCCTCTGATTTTTGTCTGTAGGGATAACGTTTCTATTAACAATATCTTTCAGGACCCTTTCCTCCGTTTTATGAGCTGTGGAAAAGAAGTTCCTGTAAAATAGTCTAATAGGGGGTATAGGTGTTGTGTTAGTTGTCTCTTCAGAGGTTGCATGGCTTTTCACTTTCCTTCTTATGATGTCTTCGTGAAACCATTGGAGAAGCCGTTATTGACTAGGACCCTTCCACCTCACTCAAATGTAGATATAAAATCGGAGATGCGTAAGTTCTATTCAGTTGTGTATTTGTGAACTAAAGTCTTTGAAAATGTAATAAGTTTTACGAAACGCGCTCGTGTCGCGTCAGACTAGAAATAAAAATGAATTTTGGAGAATTGATTTTTTATTTACCTCCAACAGTGAAGCGAAATGTACGAAAGATTGAGAAAATTCGTGATAGAATTATTAATCTTACTTTTTCGGTCATATATATATATATATATATATATATATATATATATATATATATATATATATATATATATATATATATATATATATATATATATATATATATATTAATTCATCTATTCATCATTTATCCATCCACTTATCCATTTATTTCTATTTCTATCCATGCATCTGTCCATTTATCAATCAATCTACTTATTTATGTATCCGTCTTTTCCTCCAAAACCTTCAGCCCTCTTCCACACCCCCGGTGTCTCTCCCATCGTCCCCCCTGCTTCCTTCCCTACACCACTGCTTCTCTATCTCTTATCCCCCGTTCCATTGCCTAGCAGGAAGAGTACTACACACATACAGCCCGAACGACATTCCTGGAAGGATGGCGAGTCTCCATATTGGCCATTTCCTACCTTCAATACAGTGCAAAGAGAGAAATGGCGCTGCTGCTTTCAGTGAAAAGCAGAACACTGTCATATACAGAAGACTGACACATTGCTAGAGTTTCGTTCCGATTTACTCGGAAACCGATGGCTCATGCGGCAACTGTGCATTGAAGCTTTTGACAGAACTGGGTTATAAACTAATATGGATAACGAAAGGTCATAGAGCAACACGTTTCTTGTTCCAACACCTTAGTGTTCAGGTTCAGAGGGAAGTGCTTTCTGTATCTTGGGCACGCAATTAACCCGAGAAGCTCCAGGAGGTGCTTCAATGTGCGCCAAGTAGATTTGTGATATGTGTTGCATAATCCATTTGTGT